GGGCTGGGAGCAGCACTATGTGTAGAAGATGATCTCTGGGATTTGTCCATCCTCCACGGAGGTGCCGTTGTTGTTCCCAGCCGCGTAGCAGAACGTGAAGCAGGTTTTGGCTCCCGTCGTGGGGGACTCGTGGATCACCTTGCGCAGTCCTTTGGTTCCATAGTGGGAATCTGGACCCTGCGGGGGCCATGGGAGACAAGAACAGGTCAGGGCCCTGCCCAGGCTCTCGGGGGGGTTTGGCCCTCCCAGCCTGGCCTGAAGCAACGAGCTTTGGAGGCCTCAGTTCCTCCCTCCTCCTCCTCCTCCTCCTCCTCCTCCTCCTCCTCTTCCTCCTGGAGTTGCACCTCGGGTGCTCTGAGCTCTGCCCTCCTCTCTGTCAGAACTTACCACTCATTTAACCAGATCTCAACAGCTAAACATGAACCTTTTGAGGCCACTGCAGCAGGCCCTGGATTACACACCCCCAGAACTGGCACCAAAAAATACCCCCATCCCCTGCTCAGTGCTGGGAGACCAGTCCAGCAGCGGCTGGGAGTGATGGAGCAGCACCAGGTGAGGGATCACACCGACCCCTGGGGCTGCCCCACAGGTCCCAAAGAGGGCAGAGCAAGGCCTGTGTGGCACTGAAGGCCCCGAGCAGCCCCCCCAGCCCACGGGGTACCTTGAGAGTAGCACAGGCCGTGTAGTTGACGTTGGGCAGGATCTCCACGGGCTCCTTGAACATGACGCGGAAGGTGTTGGAGGAGCCGTCGCAGCTGAAGCCGGTGTCGTTCTGCCCCAGGACTGTGTTACTGTCCGTGTGGATGATCTGCAGCACACGTGGCAGCCCCTCAGTGCACGGTCCTGCCCTGCCCTGCCCCTGCACAGGGCTGTCCCTGCCCTGGGCTGAGCCCCAGGGACTCCCACCTGGACCAGCCCCATCTGACTCCATCCATCTCGATGTCCCTGATGGTGCTGTGACCATGGAATGGTTGGGGTTGGAAGGGACCTTGAAGCCCACCCAGTGCCACCCCCTGCCATGGGCAGGGACACCTTCCACCAGCCCAGGGTGCTCCAAGCCCCGTCCAACCTGGCCTTGGACACTTCCAGGGATGGGGCAGCCACAGCTGCCCTGGCACCTCTGATCTCACTGGACTTGGGTCCCAGACACCCCCTCCTCACCCCCCTGGCTGCAGGACAGCACACTGTGCTTGGATCCTTCTCTCCCAGGAGCTCAGGGCACCAGGTTGAGCCCCTGGCACTGCTGGCAGACTGTGCTGTGCCAGGGTGGCTCCCCTGGGGGCAGCCCTTCTGCAGAGGGTGACACCTGAACCCAGAGAGCCCCCTGAGCCACCCCACTCTCTGCACAGGGTCACGATGGACTTGAGACGACTGAGTGTCCCCCAGCCCAGCCCATCACCCCACAGGGCCCTGGTGACGTGGGGCTGCACAGGGGCCCTGCCCAGGCCCAGCACAGCAATTCCCCTGTGCTCTTCCCTTGTGGAATCGTGGCTGCTCCACTGGGTTTGTGCAGCTTGGCACCAACCATTCCTGCAGCAGCCACCTACAGCGGGCTCAGCCCGGCCTGCCCTGGGCTGGAAATCACGCACAGCCCCTCCCCAAAGTGCCCCCCAGCTCCCTGAGATGTATCCCCAAGGCTGGGAGCAGACCCGGGGAGATGCTGCAGTGACGCGTGGAACGGGAGCTGCGTAAAATCGAGCACCATAATCCCTCTGATCCCAGTGCCCCATCTGGCCCCGGCTGCATCTGCCAACCCCCTGCCCAGGGACACACACCACAGTCACCAAAACACCAAAAGGGGCTTGCCAGCCCCTCCAGCAGGCAGGATTTTTAAGGCAGTGAAGAGAATTACCTGTATGTTCACCTGGTAATCCGTTGGCCCGTGTATGGATCCGTATAATCCAAACCCAACTACAAATATCCTTTTGTTTACTGAGAACCTGCAGGAACAGAGCAGGGAGGTCAGCCCGAACTTGCCACTCCTGGAACTGCTCCAGTGCAAGGCTGACACACCAACATCTGCACTTGTGTTGATTTTATGGTTTAATCAAACCCACCAAGGATTTAATGCAACTCTTCCTAAGGGCTGAAACCCTCCAGAGAAAAGAAACCACCAGCTGTCAGCTCACACTGACCCCTGACTGCCAAGCTGCCAACAGCATTTCTTCACCCATCCACCAACTCCTTCAGCCCTGGGTGTTCCCAGAACAAACACCTAGGCCAGGCTGGAGCCTCTGGCTCTGCAGCCAGCATGGAATATTGTCCTGGAGCTGACCCTGATGCTGCAGAGGCTGAACCTGAAGTCAAACACAGGCTCCTAAAGGTCTCTGAGCGTTAGATCTGAGAGCAGGAAGCGTCTGGAGCTGGCAGCAGTTCCCAGTCCCATCTCCTGTCAGGGGGTGAAGGGAGCAGAGGATCCAACCAACAGCTCCAGTGATGTGCAACAGAACCAGTGATGAAAAGGCTTAAAAACTGTAAAGAATTACACTGCTGGGAGGCCCCTTCCACCCAAGACAAAGATGGATCAGGAAAGAACCAAGGCTTCCTGAACCCTTCCTGTCTTGCTGTCATTCCCTGGCCACACAAAAAGCAACCTGTGCCAGTCCCAGCTGCCAGGCCCTGTTCCCATGACTGGGTCAGGCCTGAACAAACTGGGCATCCCAGGAAGCACAGCAGTGTTTTATCCCAACCCCTCCCTCTCACAGGGGAGGTTCAGGGGGCTGCAAGAAGCCACCCTGACACTTCTAACAGAGCAGGGATGGCTCCCTGTCCCCCCCAGGCACAGGGGGAAGCCTGGTGACCCCATAGGTGTCCCTACAGCTACAGGAAGCCACCAGGGGGTTATTTCTGTCCTTTCCCAGAGGCTGCAGGGCCACCTTTGCGGGCAACCTTCGCCAACAGAGATACAAAGTGGCACCACCAAAGAGGCAGGGGATGCTTTTACCCAGCCAAACCCTTTCCCTGCGGGGTTCCCAGGGTGGGAGTCGGGGTCCCCCCAGGGGGTGAGGGCTCAGAACACGACTCTGAGGGTGCTGACCTGATCCTGTCACTAGTCCCACTGTACCCCCAGCGGCTCTCGACCTGCTGGAAGCGGCTGATGCTGCACTCCTTGCCCCGCAGGCAGCACCGTGGCCGGTCGATGAACTCCACCCGCGGCTTGGGGTTCACGGTGAAGTGCAGGAACAGGCTCACCACCTCCCGGTCCGTCAGGATCCCCGACTGCGCCGGCCCTGCCGCGAGGAGGGAAGCAGAGATGCCATCAGCCTCGAGGAACCACGGAATGCTGGGGTATCCTGAGCTGGGAGGGACCCACAGGGATCATCCAGCCCAACTCCTGCCCAGCACACCCCAACAATCCCCCCCTGTCCCTCAGAGCGTTGTCCAAACGCTCCTGGAGCTCTGGCAGCCTTGGGGCCGTGCCCACTGCCCTGGGGAGCCTGGGCAGTGCCCACCACCCTCTGGGGGAAGAACCTTTCCCTGAGATCCATCCCAACCCCCCTGGCACAGCTCCAGCCCTTCCC